TCAGCAAAGGAAAATACATCAAGGTAAACTCAGGCTATGTCCTAAATTATAGTAAATTAAGGTTACTACCACTTACCAACAAAAATGGAAACTAAAGTGACCTAACAATAACTTTACAGTACTGATGTGAGAGACAGGGAGAGTGACAGAGAGAAAATGAGTCCTTGAAACATGACTCATCACTCTGCATTACTGAAAGATGCGTGGTTTGTGACAAAGTACTCTGCATTACTGAAAGATGCGTGGTTACAAAGTAAAAACCTGGGATTTCCGGTATGACATAGTCTATTTATGTATGTAGGCTCACCAATTGAACTAAAGTCGATTTATACAGCGCCCAGGCCAGTAAGGCCACTATAGAGTAACTGCTAAGCTTACTGGATCAGCTGAACTCACTCACACTAGCTGTTAATGACAATCAAAAATGGGGAAAATACAGCAAGCTGGTGATATTAGCAAACACTGGATAAAACACCGATTCCAAATTTTAGTATTAGTAGCAGTAGTATTCATTCATTTTGTTAAGGTTACTTGTGATAACTGTCCACTACAAGGGGGCATTATGGTTTCAGGTTGCCTGTCTGTCCTTGTGTCCATCCCATTCTCATATACATGACGTCTCTGAAACACCTTGAAGGAATTTCTTCACATTTGGCACAAGTGTCCACTTGGACTCTAGGATGAACTAAAAAGAGTTGGCGGTCAAAAGGTCCACTCTATTGTCATGAACACAATACCTCAGGAACACCTTGAGGATATTTATTCAGATTTGGCACAAATGTCCACTTGAACTCAAGGATGATACGACAAACCTCTCTATTAGTGCTTTTGTACTCTGTGTAAAAAAAATAAATAAATAAAAAAAGGTGAAGGTTATGTTTCTATGTTTCTCTTTGGAAATTATTCAGTAGAAACAAATGTCAATATAATGGTAAATTCCATTTTGCCAAAAAATATACTTTATATTAAATCCCCTAAAAGTCTTCACTACATATTACATGGGTCTGGAAAGACATACGCAAATTGCAAATTGCAACCACGAGGCAGAAATTCTAGTTTCCTTAATGTAGCACCCCACTGATGTTAGACATGGCAACTAGTTTATTAGTTAAAGGAAGTGAAGACATTCATTTAGTCATAGATGGTCTAATAAAAAAAGATCCTTATGAGTAGCAAAATGGGAAATGTAAGATCCAGTTGGACCCATTCTCAGGACCAGAAGTCTGGGTATCTCAGCCTTTGAGCATTGATTTTGACCATACTCTTTTCATTTGTCTCTTCCTGTCCTTCAACCTTATGGAACCGCAACAATAAATTACAAGAGTAACTTTGGATCTATAACACAGTCAGAAGCTGCCAACAAAAGAACAACTACTATTAACTAAGTTTAGACAATTCCAGCCCCAGTTAAAGGTAAAAATAACAGTGCTAATTGGATGATGGTCTGCCACACACAAGCCTGAAGTGCCAGGGCAGCTGGACGTGTTTAATGCTGAGCCTGTGCTGACTATTAGTATTATGGACATCTGTTTGGCTACCTCTCAAAAGCTTTGTCTGTGTCTATGTGTGTCTACCGACTTTCTAAAAATTTTAAAATGTGCATTGTCTTGTGACCCAAGATGCAGCTTTTTAACTCTAGTACATAAAACAGGTCGTTGTAGCCGTAAGTCTAATAGCAGTGTGTTTGCTTGAACTACCTGCCTTAGCCCTGCTAAGTGGGCCACACTCTGCAATGTTCTGTCCACTTCAATCAAAAATATGAAATAAGATGCCTGCTTTTTTCATCTTGGGGAGAAAGCATTCAGACTCCAAACCTTTATATAAACTTTACAGAACACATTCCCTAAACAATAGGCAAATTTTCACAACAAATATGAATCATGTTGGTACTTCTTTGCTAAGCTATGCTGAATAATTTCGTATTGCATTGAGAGCCTTTAACTTCCATTAAAACCCATGCTGTGAAGAACAACATCAATTAAAAACCAAATTTTACATTATTTAAATGACTAGTTCTGAATTCTACTGAAGATCCCAAAGTATCACTTGAAAAATGTGAAATGATGTCTTTAAAAGAAAACTAGGCTTGCAGAGGATATGATGGCATAGGCATCAATATTACCATCAATCATGAAAATAGCGGCTCTTTGAAAAGAGCTGGATCTTATAAGAAATGGCCATGAAACAATCAGAAAATACCATTTATTTTTCTGATTCACTGCTTACTTTTGCACAGCTCCATCTCTTCACTCACTCTCTAGCTCACTTGTCCATCACTGCTCTGTCTCTCTCCTACTGAAGTGAATTTAGAACACCGGCAGTGAAATCTGGGCACAAAGATTAAATAAATGGCTCTCTAGCAGGACCCAGAACCCTTTATTCTGACCAACTAGCTGTTGAATAGAATCAAATCATTCAGAAATGTAACATCACTAGGGCTGACATTTGTCTGTCTGTCTTCCTGTGCTAGAAGGACAGCTTTCTGTCTGTTTGGTGGCCGTGCCAACTAGTGGTTGAGTTCTCAGTACTAGACCAGTTGAAAAGAGTAGTTTTCATGTAGGCATGTTATCCTAACAGACAACAGTAGAAAGGTTTGCAACATAAAATAACTGGGAACTTGGGTGATTTAATGCATGAGAGAAAATAGACCTGAAGCATAAACTGGTAATTCATAGATCAGACCAAGATGGCATTCCAAGTGCACATCCACCTGATCCACACTGCTGCTCAGTTTATACACAGTGGGTGGACCCAGCATGACATGACCATGATTATTGCAGGACAGCCGGTGGAAAAGATATGCAAGATTAAGATGACACGGTGTGATGAGGTTGGGTACTTCATGCTTTAAAGTGATGCAGATGTCTTGCTGTACAGTAGGACAGGCCTAGAAACATTTATCACCCTCGTGTCAACATTAGAAGTATATGCTAGCAAAGCATTTGAATTGTCTGTGGGACATCAAGTTCTCATGACACCTAGAAGTGTAATAGGTGTGTGATACGACAAATTAATGTGTAATAGGTGATCCAAGTACAGTTTCACAAATCACAGAGCATGGCTAGCAAAATAATCGCTTACTGGATTAACAAACTAGAGGAAGTTTTGCAACCTCTAATTCTGTGGCTTCCAAAAGAAACTATTCAGGCAATCATGCCTGAAGCATTTAAGAAAAACATTCCCAATACAACATGTATTGTAGACTGCAGTGAAAGTCTTTTACAGAAACCTAAAACCTTGATTCAAGAGGGGAATCCTACAGCCATTATTAGTCACATACAGTGAAATACCAGGTAGCTGTTGCCCCATGTGGGTTAATCATGTTTATCTCTGCAGCATAAGGAGGGAGATGTAGTAATAAATTTGGAACCATGGACTCAGGAATATTAAACAGCTTAATGTCTGGAGATGAGGCCATAGCAGATTGAGGTTTTACTATAAAAGATTTGCTGTTTACTGTATGTGTCCCATTTATAACTTTAATCGCAAATGATAAATGTTGGTTATAAAATGATCTACTAAAACTATTTTCCACAATGTCTGTTCATTCAACAATCTCTGACTTGCACTGTTCCTGATCTGACTCCAGAAAGAGAGAAATGCTGTCACAGTGCTCTAAACAATTATCAAAATAGTTGCTAATTTACTGCAGGTGTGCAAACTTGCTACCTTAACTCTCTCACACACACACTCAGTCACTTGTGCGAGCTGGGACAGTTGGTGTGTGTGTGCTTCTTGTTTCTTAGTGCGAGTCCTTTTGTTAAATCAGAATTTAGCAAACGAACAATGTGGAACATTATTTGGATAGCACATTTTATAACTGCCGTCGCACACTCACACATTTTACTGTTTGGGATCAATGTAATAAACAAGACAGACTGATCTGCACAGAGGGATGGTGTTCTTGAAAGTGTTCGTTTTTGAGATATCCAAAGTAATCCCACACAACTGATTTTAAATTCTCATTTTGCAGATGGAGTTCGGTGATTTCAGCCCCCTCTCTGCCATTTGTTCACTGCATGTGTAATGTGGCGCCCATTATGGAGTCTGACAGACAGTTGGGGAAGGAAGTTTCTTCAGTACTGGTAATAAGCAACTGTGCATGATATGATAACCATACATTTTTACACCATGGTATACTGTGAAACTGGGACACCGCTGCAACCCCAAATATGGTCATTGTAGCCAAGATTCGATATAAAATACTCCAGCACTACTTTTATTATTTTTTAATTATAATTTGCTTGGAATTACTTTTGGACCAGTGACTTCCCACCTTTCTGACTGGGGTTCTTAAATCAAAAGGATGTTTATTTCCAACCCCTCATCTGTGATTGCAGATGGGGATCACACACTAGTGGCATCGTGTCCCAGCATGTGTTGCGAGTATCATGTTGTGCACGTGACGCAACACCACCTGTGTGTTGCCACTAATAACTGACAAGTTCAACCAATGACATTTTGTTTGTTTAATTGAGTAATTAAACTGATTTGGTAATCTGCATGAAAGAACGGTTTGGTTAAAAGATTAACACTGTTGTTTAACATACTCTTTTTTTAGCCTCTTAATACTCTTGTAACGCAGCAGATTTATTTTGTGTCATGCTGTACTGGTCTCGACACTCACACTTGTATCCATGAATGATTGCTTTTGTCTAACGATTATACTGGTTACACTAAATAATGTTTCTTTTGCTTGTGTTAAATATTAGACATTATATTAGAGCAAAATCTGACAAAATTAAGATAAATCTGTGTAGCACAAGTGTGTTTTTTTCTTTCCTATACCTTTGATCATCTTGCAAACCACAACTTTATTTTGTGACACTTTTGAGAGTCCTGACCCAAAGGTTGTGGGCCATATATTTACTAAATAGTTAGTACCTGATGTGATCAGATGACAGATTGGAAAAGGTGTGTATATAGCTATTAAACAAAAGCTAAATATTCCTATATAAAATCTTAATTGTTAAAACAAAAGAAAACAAAAATCATCTTACCTCCACCTGTTGACCCCGACACTGGAAGAGCCTGCAAACCATGGATCCAGGAAGTAAACACAGCGCACTGTGTCCGCTCCCTGGACTGCTTCCCGTAAGGCTGGGTTGTCATGGAGACGGAGACCCTTCCGGAACCAGTGGATGGAATTTGGGGCCATCGTATTCTGAAAGAAAAAAGTGACAGTGAGAAAAAGAAAATTCACTGAGCAGGTCAAAGCAAACTGAAATGACTGAATGGCGGTGAAATTCAAGTTTTTGTTTTTTTTTTTTTACAGCTCACTCACAGCTTGTCAAATATTGAATGTCTTCCAACAGGCGAAATAATGGAGGCATCCAAGCTGTATCAGCTGCCATCTGCGTAGGATGTACCAAGAATATATCTGAACACATTCACTTCACCATGGCCAAAGACTGTTTTATGCTTTCTGTTGTCAGTAGAGGTATTTTTAAGCCCGTGATACAGTATAAATAAACTAAAAAAAAAAAAAAAAAAAAACTGTAAAACAAAAGGCAGCTTTCAGTGTGCCAGCATAAGAAACCAGTCAAAGCACACAAAGATGTCATTTCTTAGGCGTGAGGATATTCATGAATGAAAAATATTTGGTTTTGAACTGATTAGTTGATTAATCAGTAGTCAGAACCATACACTGATCAGCCTTAACATTCTGATCACCTGCCTATTATTGTGTAGGTCCCCCCTTTGCTGCCAAAACAGCTCTGACCTTCTGATGCTCACGTTCCCATTGTAGGGGCTTTCAGCAGTGGACAGGGGTCAGCATGGGCACTCCGACAGGTCTGCGACTACACAACCCCATACACAGTAAGCTGCAATGCACTGTGTGCTGACACCTTTCTATAAGAAACCTGCATTAGGTTTTCCAGCAAACTGTGCTACAGTAGCTCTTCTGTAGGATCAAACAACACAGGCTAGCTTTTCACTCACCACGCAAAGGGCATCTTGACCCTGTCGTTGGTTCACTCTCTGTCCTTCCTTAGACCACTGTTGGTAGGTACTAACCACTGCAGACTGGGAACACCCACACAGACCTGCAGCCTGGGAGATGCTCTGGCCAGCCATCATAGTTTGATCCTTATCAAAGTCAATCGGATCCTTATGCTTGCCCATTTTTCCTGCTTCCAACACATCAACCTCGAGGACATGCTGACAGGTACCATTATAACAAGATAATCAATGTTATGCACTTCACCTGTTCACAGTGTTATGGCTGATCAGTGTATAAAGATGGACATTGTGACAGCTCCCAGAAGTGAAGTCTCCGTGAGTCGATCACACCCTGGTGGCTGGTTGCAGAATATGGGCCATAAAAACCATCCCCTCTATGTTGATGGATGGGACATGAGCTTTGAGCCAAAATAAAAATTCAATGTACAAAGCAAATTAATTTTCCCAAAGGTGATTTCTGTCATTTTATACAGATATTATCACATGAATTTAAGTACAAGTGGTCATTTTTCTGAGATTAGTTTTTAATAAATTAATTGATGCTATAAAAGTGAATGTCAGGTGATTAACAGTTTTGATTGGAGGCCTGATACTGCAGCTCTACCTCTGGTTACTATACTGTGCAGAATCTGGTTGCAAAAGATATCACGAAAGCAAGATGGCCACCCCTGCAATAATTTGGCTTCACATATTGGCGTCAATAATTTTGCACAGGAAGTAGTGTGATGCATTGTCTTCGGTCTGTGGTTAGAACAAAAATATTTAACAAGAATTTTGATAGCTGCCTAATTAGTGAAAAAAAACTAATGGGAAAATATCAATGGATGAAATACCCAGACAGGAATGTTTTTAAACAGATAGATATATTAGAGCAAAGTCTGACAAAATTAAAATTAAACACAAAACTCATAAATATGAAAACAGCCTTGTCACTGAGCTGTTTATTGTGAAGTAAAATGGATTGATGCGCTCACTGTATAAATAATATAAACAGCAAAATCTTTCTCTTTATCCAGGGTCAGAGTTTCGAATCTCAGCGCCTGCAGTCCACATGTCGAAGTGTCCTAAGGCAAGACACTGAACCCCCTCAACCCCCCCCCCCCGTTGCCCCCGATGGTTAGAACCATCAGTCAACTCAACTGGCTGCCTTGGTTCTGTACCGGAAACGCATTTCTTGGTGATTATCCTTATATCAGTAAATGCCGTCAAATTGTCAAACTCTATGATCAATCACAAACAAAACAAGCCAATGACTGATTCCAGCTTTTAAACATAAGGATTGTTTTGCTTGTCTCAGCTTTAGACAACATTGTGAGCTGAATCCTTCTTGGATTTGGAACACTGATCAGACTAAATGAATCATAGAAAAACTGCATTAAATGCTGTCCCAGTCCTTTCTGTTATTTTACTGTCTTCTATAAAAGGCTGAACAGTAATATTAAGGAAAAACACATCCAGGCTGCTATAGGCTCAGTCACATGAATTCCCAGAGCTACAAAATTGCAACATTTTATATGTGATCTTGAGAGAGGAACAAGTGGGATGCTTATCAAAAGAATGCATGTATTTACCTGCCAAGAATATGTTTAATTGACACTATGAAGAATGACATTTCTTTGAAATATGCCAATGTATCAACTACCTAGTCCATTTTATGTATATAGAAGAAGCAGCTAATCTGAAGCCTGCATGATACAAAGTCACTGGATTACTGACTTGTTTGCCTCATGGTCAGAGGGAGCATAAACTGGACCACAGCTCAACAGGGACAACGTCTGACTATAGGCATTTTAACTCATACTCTACCAGTCAAGTGTGACAGTTGACACCTCGGGATTCACCTGCCAAATACAACAGTTACTGCTATTTGGTGTCCAGCAGCTGAGTAAGTATTGACAGAAAACGTTGATTAATGGTATCCCTATTGCTCTTTTCACATTCATCTATCTGTATTACGACAAGCCAATACCATACTGTATGCAAGTGAATATCCACTTTGCAGGTCACCACTTGCTTCAAGGAAGACACCTTCACTTTTCACACTGCATTTATAAAATGCAGGGATTTACAGTATAGCTCACAGACGAGCTGAAGTTTACTCTTTTGTTACTAACAAGTCAATTATGTTGACATGGTCAACGACTGTGCTGTGAACAGCTCAGATTAGAAAAACATGCTTTCTGGATGAAGCCATAATTATCACCTATGCAATGTCAGTGTTTTGACTGTAGGAGAACAATAAAGTTGCTTATCAAGTCAAGTTTCTTTCAGTCAATTGATTGAACATGTATTTATACAGTAACTGTCATCAAACATGCTTTAGATTGAACATGTATTTATACAGTAACTGGCATCAAACATGCACAAAATAAAGAAAGATAAAATACAGAGTACAAGATAAAAAGTAAAACACATGAAAGAACACAAAAAGTGTCAGGACTCTACTGGAAACTAAAAGCCAGTGTACACAGGTAAGTGTTTAACTTGGATTGAAAAAGTGTCAGGTCTGTAGTAGAACAAATACTGTAGGAGCAGTCACAGTAAAAGCACAGCCACCACTTCCACCTAGCCCTCAGAACTTCTAGGAGAAGCTCCATTTGGTTTACATTGTCAGCTGATTAGTCTACTGTTTACTGTGGTGTACAGACCTTAAATATCTTGTGTTACTTTTTTTTAGGGCTACGTATGGCTAGTATGTATAGGTAATCCTCTTTCAGAGAGATGAATGAGCCCAGTAACAAAAACCAGTGCAAACATTGGAGTGGTGACTATATTATTTTGTCTCTTGTCATAAAATGCAGAAACTTTGATAACACTTGATTAGCATTTTTGGATGGCCTCTGTTTCAGCTACAGTACGACACAAAAGACTTTATGTATTAGAGTAAACAGCAACAAATTGTCCAATAAATTGTTTGCATAATTACAGATTCCCACCCCTCACATGGCAGAGCCATGCTGGTGGTTCCATGTAGTATCCTGACTAATTTCTCATTTACTCCTCTTTGCATCAAATAACAGGCTTTTCTCAAAGTGATCTTGAATGCCTCCTTTTCTCCCATGTTAGAAGAGCTCAGCATTTTTATATGCAAACAAATGGCTATACAACAGTATATGTGACAAATACTCAAACCAACAAATGCATTTTAAATAAAACATTCAACAAATTGTATTATTACAGGGTACTGTACACAGGTTACTGTACCAGTCAACAGAATTCTTTTTCATGGCTTTTTTACCTGTGTAAAGAAACGTACAAATTATCAATATAAAGCACTATGCTATGCAATTCTAGGTGGCTGTGCAGGGGAAGAGGCATTCTGTGGACTTACTGTGGTCCAACCTGTCTACGATTGAGTCTTCATTACACACATCACTGTTCATATCTAAACTGCACTGGTGTATCTTCAGCTCAGTGCATTAAGCCTGTGACCCCGTGGAGCAATTGACCACAGGTCACTGTTGTAAATTTGTAAATTCATATTGAGGAAAGCACAAACCTACATATGTACTTTGTATTTGTAATTTCTTGAAGTTGCAACTTCTACATATTTTCTATATGATTTGACTTATACAAGAGTTTACAAAAACACATTTTTGTGTACAACTCATTGATTTATTCACAATAAATTAATATTATTGGCAGCTGTCTTACTTCATAGTCCTCTGTAACAAGACTGTAAAAACATACAGTAGCCTGGTTCTGATTTAAATACAAGTAGTCTAATTCATCTGTACAGTATGTCAATCTTGGTAATATAAGGCGAATAAAAGGCAGACTCTGTTTTGAAAGGATGGTTTAGTGTCTCGGTGATGTCTCCTATGACTTCTCCGAATGGAAATTAGGTCACACTGTCTATTCTAAACGGGGACCGATATTGGACCCATCTCATCTGAACTTCGTCCAGAATTATTACCCAATAAAAATAAATATAAAGGGTTGGCGAAAATGACAAAAAGGAATTTTTAGTCTAAATGGATCTTGAAAATATAACTGACTTGAACTTCAAGTATCTGGCATGGAAACATCATCTCTTTAGACCAAAACGGGGTCACCATAGCGATGCTTATATAACCGGTGGCGCTGTGTATAAAAGTATAGCCGGTTTTCCCTTAAACAAAACCCTGAAAACTGCCAAAGACACCCGTCTTACCTTGTGCTGGCTCCCCAGAGGTGATATTTATGTCAAGCCTAAAGAAAGAAGCATGTCTTCTCCCGGTTAAGATGTATGGGGAAGTGCTGTGTACCTGGATGGTGCCTATAGCCACACTGAGATTCCCTCTTGTCTCCTGCTTGCTTTCTACTGCTGCACTGTTGTTTCATAAGAGTTCATTGCGCATGCCCCACTTTCTTATCCCACTATTATGCCGCGTTCAGGACACAGCAGATAAATACCGATAGAGCCTACTTGTCGAAAGCTGGTTGAACGCATCAACACGTCGCAGCAGTTTTAAAATGAAAATGAAAATGAAAATAATACGAAACACAGCAAAATAGCTACGTGTAATACTATGTTAGTAATGCTGACCTAAACTTTATTCTAAGTCTATTAATTCAGTTCAAACTCTAACATTTACTTAAAGAATTATTTTCAGCTTTTATATGCTTTTGCGCAAATATTCTATGATAATTGTGAGTACAGAATTGGACATTGAACATCAAAAAATGTGGTTGCCTATTTTTTCATCTGAGCTCCAACATCAATCGTAATAATACGTTAAAAATATCATGTTTATCTTCTTTCCCACAGTTCCGAAATGCAGCACTGGCCCTGTCAAACGTGACCAGCGAAGTCTTTCCAATCCGGCGTTGCCATTGGTCGGTTTACCAACACGTGTATGGTGCCGGGTCACGTTTAAGACGCATGGAAATACGGAAGTCTATCAACTCAGGAGCAAGTTTTTTTATACTAACAAATGCAAATGTGAATTTTGGCACATTTATGACTGATACAACACAGGATGTAGCATTTAATGCAATGATAATTATTGGGATTTCTTTGGGGATAAATGTAAGTTTATGAAAACGCAGCAAGATCTCCGAATTTATCACAAAGAATTGTCTCAGTACTTCTTGTTGCTCAGGTTGATGGAAAATAAGAATACTTTAAGTCTGTATGAGTTAGCAGTGAAACTTGGACTTATAGAGAACCCGTAAATCCCCTCTTTTTGTTTGCATTTTATTTATTTGTTTATTTATTTTTCCCCTGTCCTGAATGAAAATTTTTCCCTGACATAATAATAGTGTTCATAATTATTTCATGTCCTTTGTCTTTCAAATATACTCCAAAAATGATACTTTCTCTTGTGAATCCCTGTAAGTCAGCTATTTTAGAAAACAACCAGTAGGAGGTATCATCCCAAAAAGTCTTAGTATGTTTCTGATAAAAAAAATAAATGATCTGTTGTTTCTACATTTTATTCACAAAAGTTACATATATTACAGTCTACACCAAAGCGGAGTCTTAGAAATTCTCCAGAGGTATACATTCCAATGGATTTCCATTGCTTTTGTAGATAAACCATTCTAATTTTTCAGCCTGTATTTTAGAGTAAAATTGGATTATGTCATTACTGCATGGTAAACATAGATATATAGTAAACATTTTAAAAACTGGCAGATAAAGGAGTTTGGATGTTTGTGGTCTTTAATGTAATGACTGTCAACCAAAAGCAACTATCCACATTTCATAACCCACCTGCTTTATATTCTTTAACCATTTCAGCTTTTTTAATAGATTTAGTTTTTCTATTACATACAGTATATAATCAAAGTTGGCTTGGTTTATATCTTTCATAGCTGTTTTAGGAGCTGCCATAGAATAAACAGGGTATATGAATCTGGAAATACTTTCCATCTTTGTCAAGAAAATGCAATCAAAATAAATAGATCTCTGTGTGAATAAACCTTGAAAAAAGATTTACATGCATTAATAAGGTTATAGATGTTGCGATTTGTTAGTGGGTTTACATTTTTTGTTATTTGGATATGTATTTTACTACTGACTTGATGGGGATTAGCCTTGTAGTGAAGACAAAGATCAGAGTGTATCAAGACTGAGATAAGACCAAGATGTAAAGGGGTTGAGACTGAGTTAAGATTAAGACCAGACCAGCGCAGTTAAAATGAATTTGATAGTCTGATAGTACTGGCTTGTCTGTGTTTCAGTGACACTAATGGCACTATACAGGAGTGAAGTTACTGAATATTTTTCCCTATAAAATTCCCCATAATTATTAAAAAGCTGTAAGTATGTCTATGTTGATATTTGGGTCCATGGAGTGACTGAGTGCGGTCAAAAGAGTCCATTAAGCTTCTAAATCCATTTGCTGGTTGAGTGTTAGGAAAGCAAACATGAATGGTAAAATCACCACAAACCAGGAGCTGGTTGTATTTTGGTACAATTTCTGCTAGAAACTCTGAATATGCTTGGATAAACTCCTCATTAAATTTCGGTGGATGTGAAACCAAAGCACATAGCACAGGGCAAGAAATGTGAACTACAAAGAACTGAAGCTCAAAACTAAAATAATAATCCATAGTGATTAATCAGTTCTAGGTTTTTGCACACTCATTAGTAATAATTTATTCAGTGTACCTAAATGTACCTAAACCTAAATAAATATTGGCTAAATAATGGGGTATGAGTTGCAGGCCAGAGGGTCAGTCATTCTATGCATGTACTGAGGGCAGGAATTGGCAAGATTCAGAACTTGCCTGAGAGTCACTGGGGTTTTAACATTTCTTGGGTATTAAAAAGTAATTTGATAGTTGTCAGTACATCCAGTAGTACATAGCAACAATAAACTGTTAATAGTTAATTCTGTATACTTAATGTTCTGAAATGTAAACAAATGTAAGCAAAAAATTTTTTTTGCATTAGTTTACCCATTATTCAATTACTTTGTGTTATTTTAACCATTTATCCTTTACTGATGGCTATTTCAACCATTCCATCCCTATTAGCATTTTCACCAGTTATTCATTACCTTGTTTATGTATTACTTTAAGCTAACTATTTTAACTGTTTATCTGTTAATTGTAACTGTTTATATATTTAGTTAACTATTTTCAGCCATTAAAACTTACTTTTAGCTTTTTCACAAACATCATCTCTTACTTCTAGCCAACTGTTTGAACTTTTTAAACATGACTTTTACCTAACCTTTTAAACCATTTATCCATCACTTTTAGCTAGCTGTTTCAGCATATATATACTGTATATTCTAAAATTCTATTAAGAAAAGAGATATTTCCATGTACCCCCTGGCAACTGCATAATTATTCATTGGGGCACAAGAGCCTATGTTCATGCTACTGCACAATGTGTCAGGATATTGTATATTGCAGTATTGCATATAAAGCCATCCTATTTGGCTTTTGACCCTTAATGCAAAGTAATGTCCAGGTGGGACAGAGCAGAGAGGTACTCCAGTAACTCCAAATAGGTAAAAATATCTTGTATTTAACAATGAAAAAGTAAAGATCAACAGCCATCACTTTTCTAGCAGAGTTGCCTTCTGCTTACTGTCGGATTCATTTCAAAATCCTTCTTATGATTTACAGAGCCCTAAATGGGACCACTCCCCTTTCCATCCATGGCCATCCAAGCCATTATGTTCTGACCAGAATGGTAAATGGTCTTATACTTGTATAACACACTTCTATGCACTGCAGCACACTCAAAGTTTTTTCATGCTATTTGGCCAGTCACCCATTCACATTCCCAAATTCACACACTGGTGACATCATTGAGAGTAACTGGGGGTTCAGTGTCTTGCTCAAGGACACTTCAACATGTGTACTGAAGAATCCAAGAATCAAACCGCCAACCTTCTGGTTAGGAGACAACCTGCTCTACGGCCTGTGCCACAGCCGCCCAAATGCTGAATGCTTAGGTAATTTGATCAGATGCTACTTGTTGTCACCGTGGTGAAGGCCCGTGGTGAACATGCCTTTTCTTGGGTTCTATGTGTAATAAAAAGCTGATAAACTATTCTTGTGAGTAGATGCCATTTTCTCTAATGTGATGTATTCAGTCAGAAGGTTGGTCCAGTGGTTTACATGTAGTGATTTTTTTTGATTTCCAGTTTTGAAAGATTGTTTTCTTGGCAATAGCTAGAGAAATGAGGAATGGGTTTTTGTATTTAATTGGTAGGTGGTTGACTTCTATGATATTACCGAGTAAGCAAAGTGATGGAGAAGGAGAGATTCTACAGCCCAAGATGGTGGAGAGTTTCTCTGTCACTGCTATCCAGAGGGAATAAACTGGTTGGCAGGTCCAAGTAGCATAAAATTAACTGTTGGTGCAATCTAGAGTGCATTGTGAGCAGATGTCTGTCAGTGAAACCCATTTTGAACATTTTACTTTCTGTAATATGGGTCCTATAAATGGTCTTGTATTGATCATAGAAAAGATGTTATTGCAAATTTCTGTCCAGAAGTTGGAGCTGAGGGAGAGAGTTAAATCATTTTCCCATTTGAGTTTTGGTATTGTTATTGTTGAATCTGTATTTGATATGAGTCTAGCTAGTATAGCTTGGATATTATTTTCTTGGAGGATGTAATTGTCATAATTTCTTCAATTAATTTGGAAGGCTGTAGTGGGTTATTGGTTACACTAATCTTTGACTTATATATGGATTTTAGGTGATTGTACTGGAGGAACTGTTCTCTCTGAACTCCGTACTTCTGGATCAGTGTATTAAATGATATGAACTGGTTATTTTCAAATAGGTGATGTAAGTGAGTGATTCCTTTGTGTTGCCATGCTGGGAAATAGATAGGGTTATTATGCAGTTGGAAATCAGGGTTGTGCCAAATTGGAGTGTATCTACATGGTGTAAGTGATGATTTAGTGATTTTGTTTACTTTCCACCAGGCTGTCAGAGTTGAGAGGATTGTGATGTT